ATTATGTAATTAATTATTAAATAAAATATTAAATAATTCATAATGACTTTATTTTATTATCAAGTAAAATTATTTATAATTATCATATTAATTATAATTGATACATTTTATATATATGTTATTGAAATTAAATAATCAAATTAAAAGAAATATATGTTTAAAGATAAAATGTCAATAAATATATAAATAATAGATAAAATATCAATAAATGAAATAGAGAATATTAATAATAAAAAGAATATATAGAAAAAGAAATAATAGATAACAAAAAATAGAAGAGAAAATAGATAAAATTTATAATATATTAACATCAAAATCAAAGAATGATAAATAAAATAAACAATGAATATTCACCTCAATATAATAAATGAAATTATAAAATTATAATTATTTATTTACATCAATAATCAAACAAATAATCAAATGAATTATCATTTTAGAAAGAAATAATAAAAAGTAATGAAAGAAAGAACTGATAAAAGAAATAGAAAATAAATGAACAATATCACAATAAACGAATAAAAATCAACACATATTACAATATATAAAAGAATGAATTTATAAATAATAGTATTAATTTAAAGTATTAAATGAAATGAATATATCAAATATTAAAAAAAATACATAATATGTCATAATATGCGAAACAAGAAATGATAATTCAATAATGAAAAATACAAAAAAAATGGAAACAGTATACAAATGACATAACCTTTACATAAAATATATTATTTTTCATTTATTTACAATATGTAATTGAATCAATTTAACATTGTTAATGATATTAAAATCATTTTTCATTTCATTTTCAACATAAAAATAAAGTATTAATAAACAACATGGAACAATTTTATAAATATTATTCAATTAATTATATCTGAATTATGGTTTTAAAAGAATTTAAAAGAATAAATAAATACATTATATGAAGGAAAGAAAATGAGTGTTTCAATAAAAATAAATGGAAAGAAAATAAAAAACATATTTTTGGGATAATTAATGTAAAATATAGGAAAACAAATTTGTAATTAAAAATAAAAATAAGATTGAATAACAAATAAAATGGTTATTTTTTAGAGAGTAGGAATGTCTAATAGCTTTTATTTCATTTGAATAACAATGAATCGTTTTAGTGTGAAAAAAAAGTTTTTCCATAAAGGGTGTATGAGATTCTATTATATTTAAATGATTCTTCATAACAATATGAATTTGTTTTATCATTTTCCTTACAAATACGAATATCACTTTCAGTTCCCATTTTGAATAAATAATTATTTGATAGGTTATACAAATAAAATCCACCACGCTTGCATTGAATATCAAATTGTATCATTTTATCTAATCTTCAGTTTGACTCTAATGAAAATACAAATGTGTGTGGATCAGTTATAAAATAACAAACTTTATTAATTTTAGAATTAACATTACCAAAGTTTATTTCCATCTGTATCTTCAATAATAATTATGAGATTTTCTTTCTCCTACACTCTTACTCCAAATTCTGGTGTAGTATTATTCCAAGTATTAATATCTGAAGCAAATATAATATTTTTTACTCTTCTTTCTGTGCATCTTCTATTTGTTTAATTATTTTATTTGGTTTATCTTGTAGTACTTTATTTGTCAATGACGTTATTTCTCCTATTAACTTTTGTGTTTACTATTTTTAATTTATTTCGAGTTGATTTTATTGTTAACTTTGATTTTATGGAAAGCTAAAAAAATCAAACACCAATAAATATAATAATAAACAAATTCTATATTTTATAATACTTTAAATTATTATTTTAACTATTTATTTTATTTTGTTGTTTGTTAATACAATGAAAGACAAGTTTTTGCATGTCTACCAGAATGAATCTACTTTTAATGCTAATTATATAGTTCAATTGTTATATTTAACTACCCTTTTTTGTATTTTATAATTATCTACAACATTAGAACATGAATATTAAATTTAATAGTAATGAGTCAGTTGCTAACTTTATTAATTGTTTAAGAAGGATATAACAATGTTCTAAATGAATCAAATCAATGAAAATAAATTATTCCATCATTTTCTCTATCGTTTATTCAGAGTGATAAGATTGCTAACAACCAATTATGAATGAATGCTATTAATAACCAATTGGTTTGTTCAATAAAATTGGATTTGATCCAGTTCTAATTTTTTTCATATTCAAACCATATTAAATAGTATATCTTTTATTTAAATTCTGATTTAACATCAATAAAATATTATTTAAAATTAAATTTATTAATCAATCATATAAAGATGTTACAAAATGATATAATTCAATTCAGAAATGTTTATATTTTTTTATCAGAGCAAAAAGTTCTTGTGATTAAGTTTAATGCATCAAACAGAAATATTACAAAATGAATTTAAAGTATTAATGAACAAATTAATGATGAAAAGTGAAGTTAATGAAAATTAAGAAATGAAAAAATAACAGTTTAAAAATAATAATTAAGAAAATTTAATTAATTTCAAAATGATTTATTAATAATATTTAAACTATTTCATTTTAATTTTTTATTTAAATTATTAAATTATAATAATACTATTAAATACTACAAATTTGAGACTTTAACATTTTGAATTCTAAAATTCTTTGTTTCTTTTAATATTTTTATCTTCTTAAACTATCACTTGTGATATTGTGATATTGTTAAATTGTTAAAGAGAAATTATATATACTCCTTTCATTTTTAATAAACCAAATCATAAGAGAAGATAAAACTGTCTAGAAAACACTATAACTATACGCTTTAGTTTTTGTTCAAACATAATCAATTAAGTCATACAAAAACCTGAAACAATTAAAAAAGATATTCCTGGAAATACAACTCGATTTTAATGTTATAAAAATATAAAAAAATAGAAAGAACTAAAAAAGTTTAAAGAGAAATAAAAATTTAAGATGGAAGGAATGAAACGTTTCTTTTTTGGAAATGTACCACCAAAAGGAACAATACCACTTAATTCAAGTCCTAAAAAGAAAAACGATAACACAACACAAAAGAAAAGTTATAAAATTGATATAAAAAAAATGAAAGATGAACTTCAAGAATTAAGAGAAATGCTTCAAAGTAAAGGGATTGAAGAAAAAAGAGAGGCATTAAGAAAAATTGTGTTAGCAACAGCAGAAGGAAAAGACTGTTCATTTATGTTTATGGATGTTTTAAAAATTATTCAAACAAATGACGTCTCTTTAAAACAGTTAATTTATCTTTATATTTCAGCTTATGCAAGTACTGATGACCAACAAGCAATACTTGGAGTTAATTCATTAATCATTGATAGTAAACATCATGATGCACATGTACGTGGTTTAGCTCTTAGGACTATGGGAAATATTAGACTTCAAATGACTGCAGAATATTTTGTTCAACCATTATTAAATGGACTAGATGATAATGATCCATATGTACGTAGAAATGCAGTTCTTGGATTATTAAAACTTCTTCATATTCCAAATACTTCTATTGATCGTGAAGCAATAGAAAAGAAATTTGTATTATTACTTAATGACACAGATAGTTGTGTTGTAGCAAATGTTATTAATGCAATAAACGAATTACCTGAAATGCTTCATTTATTAAAATCTCCTGAGACTGTTAGTAAAATGATTGAACTAATAGATGGTGCTTCTGATTTTACTCAAGCTGTATTTATTAAATGTTTTACTAATTACATTCCATCATCTTCTCAAGAAGCTGAAAGAATTACACAAAAAGTATTTGATAAAGGTTCTGTCACTAATGAAGGTGTTGTTATAGATACACTAAAACTTGTATTAAGATATCAACCATTTTTAAATACTTCAAAAGTAGAAGAGTATTTTAGTATTTTAGCAAATATTATAATGAAAATGAATGCATCATTAACTAGTTCAAAGCAATATGATGTATTATATATATTTTATAGAAATATTAAACACTTCCTTTTCATTCAACGAAAACTTTTTGTATCTCAACTATTTTGTTTTTATATTTCATACGAGGATCCAATTAATTTAAGAATAGAAAAATTAGAAATTCTTTTATCTTTGGCTGAAGAGACTAATGTTAAAGACCTCTTGGATGAATTAACTGAAGACTCTTTAGCATCTCTTGATTTTGCTCCAAAAACATTAAAAGCTATTGCTACATTAGTTACTAAATTTCCTAGTTTGGCTTCTCAATGTGTTTCTTCTATTCTCCGTATTTCTAATGAAGTACCTCAATTGAGTGAGTCATGTTTAGTTGCTTTATCTGAAATTTTAATTCATACTGATGGAATGTATTTGAAAGCACTTCCTTTGTTATTAAATAATATAGAAAATCTTGAAAACCTTGAAGCAAAATGTGCATTGATTTATCTTTGTGGAGAGTTTGTAACAAAAATTACTAATGCAAAAGAGTTTATAGCTAGATGTATTGAGAAATATACGGACGAATGTTTAGAAGTGAGATTAGCTCTTTTAACTGCTTGTGGAAAAATTTATTGTGAAGTACCATTTACAGAAACTACTCAAAAAGTATTAGAAATAGCTATCAAATCTATTGAATGTGATGAACGTGAACGTGCAGTATATATTTGGAGGGTACTTAGTGGAGGTGAAAAATTAATTAAAGGAAAGACAGTTGGAATGGAAAAAGTTATTGAGAGAAGAGAAATGTTAATGAATATTGGAAGTATTTCTACTGTGTTAGAAATACCTAAAAAAGATATAAAATCATATTCTGAACCTAAAAAAACTATTAAAAATATTATTGGAGATAAAGAAAAACAACAAGAATTAGATGAAAAGAATAAAACAATTTATGCACAATTAAAACAAAAAAGAAACCAAGGAAATCAAAAAATATTGAGTGTAGAAAATGAACGTATTAACAGTTTGATTAATGTGTCTAATAATATACACCAATTTGATGTTGATGGAATGATAATAAAAAAGGAAGGAAAGTTATTTATGAAAATGAGAATTAAAAATATTTCTGGTGTTATAATTAATGGACTGTTTATGCAAATTAATAATAATTCATTTGGATTATCTTGTGGTACTTTTGATAAAACAACATTACAAGTAGATGAAATTTATTCAACTGATTTACCATTATATTTCAATGGAAGTTCTTTAGAAGGGCAAATGAATAATGTAATGCAATTAGGAATTTCACATTCAACAAAACAAGTTTCATTTTATACTCTTATAATGCCAATATATTTAGCATCTATTTCTGAAGGAGTGCCAACACAACCACGAGTATGTGCAGAGATTTATCATAAATTTCCATGTGACTCTACTTTAGTTCTTGTTTTTAATCATATTCAAGCAGGAGAAAGTAAAAATGTATTAGTTGATTGTGGATTTAAAGTAGTAGCTGAAAAAGTAGAAGGAACAGTTGCTAAATTAATAATGATTATCAAATAAAAAAGACAT